CACAGCCAACAACTTTCAGTGCCTCTTGCCCTCTGAAACTAAGAGCTAAGTTAATGCTCCTGCCTGCTCCTAAGTCAAATTTCCTTATGTCTTCTCTGGACTCAAAAAGGAGAACATTATAGCCTCTCCTAGCTAAATATAAAGCTTGCAAGGATCCAACTAGTCCACCACCTATAACAGCTACTGGTATGTCACCTTCTCCTTTGTTTTTTAGATTTACTTTCTCATTTACAGCCTGATGAGCCATCATTTAACTAGAGAGGGTCAAGCCAGCTATAGGAGTACAAATATGAGAGCGGTAGATCTACATGCCATCTATTTATGGAGTGCATCGGAATTTGGCTCGGAATTTGGCTATCACATCATTTACAGTTGCACCTTAATGTCACTACTATTTGTGATAATGAATGATGTGACAGCCAAATCCTCCTACTCTTGGCAGTAGATGTGCTGCATCAAATTAAAAATAACATTTTTAGGCAAGTATAGATCTAGTTGCACCCACCAATTATTACCAATTATCAAACTGTCTCTCTCCATCTCCCCCTTTCATCCTAGTTTTCATCAAATGAAATTATTATTGCTACTCCAGTAATAATAATATGCAATCTAGTCATGTTTTCATCACAACTGTTACAGTATTGGTAAATTTTTTTATGCTTAACTCAACTCCCTTAGTCCCTGCCTAGTATGATTCAATCCATTGCTGCATATTGAATTGCAACTCCTTTCTTGTAGCAATTTTTGTTAGAGAAGTTTGAATAGCATAGCTACAATTATGGCATTATGCATGACTTATTGCAATAGACTTTTTGAGATCTTTAAAAGCTTTAAACTAAATTCAAATAAGAATCAAAACTAACTAAAACAAATCAAATCATAAATATAGTTTCTGTTACTATAAAAAACACTATAACTAATTAGCATAAGCTGGCTAACTATTCACTCAGATTCAATCCTTAAGCAGACAGCTTAAAATTTAGAGGACGAGGAGTCATGAACTGCTTCACAACATCCATAGTCACCTCAGCACGTCTTGCCTGATGATCCCCAACAAGCTTTTGAAGCACACCAATAAGCTCTTTCTTGAGTTGTCCAGTAAGCAGTTTTCCACTCTCATAATTCTAAATTAAACCATTTAATTAAAAATATACTAGTTGTGCTATTACTACCTTCTTTATCTCTGCCAGACGTTCATCATCCTCCATGAAAAAGGTCAAGTATTGATAAGAGACATCAACGTCAGTGTTACCACCATGCTTCTCATGTTCTTCTTTTGTGTCACATCCACCAGAAAAAGCATACTTGTTGATTTTTTGCTCAATTTCCTTTGGAGTATCCGTAAGAAAGATGGACGATGTTGGATCACTGGCAGACATCTTGGATTGTGGTCCTTGAAGTGCTGGAAAGAAAGTTGAATGAAGGAGTGCTGGTTTGTGATAGCCAAGACGTGGTGCTACATCTCTCGTCATACGAAAGTATGGATCCTATAATAGCCGACCTGATCTATAATACTAGTAATTATTCATCATTACTTGATCAATGG